AGAACATTTTGATGTCTGTTCAAAGTTTGAACGGAATGATCGTTACTACACCAGCACACTTTTGAACTGTTCAGATATATCAGAAATTGAGTATTTTTATAACCTTTTATGCCCCTATTCTAACGGTCATTTCTATATTTATAATTTCTAAAGGAAATAGGGTTAATGTATTATGGTTGACCTTGAATTTGAAAGGCAAGCTTTGGCTGACGAAAATTGTACGTGAAAATTGCAAACCAATTAGAAAATAAAGAGAACACACGAATAACCATTTTCTACACACGAATTAGTACTTGACTTGCCTGTTTTATCTATTAAAAATGTTAATAGTCTCCTTCACGGTTGCCTGCGCCATCTTGAAAGGTAGCCGTGCCGTTGCATCGAAGCGAGACGACCGTTGAGCGTGCAACGATAGAAACCTTCTTTCACACCTACAGACAATTATTCACAGGTATCTATCATTGCACGCTCAACGGTTGTCTCGCTTCGATGTAAAGGCACGGCTACCTTTCAAGATGCCGCACCTAACCGTGAAGGAGACTATTTTCACAATGAAAGTACAATCCACAAAGCAACGATGGGGCGAGCGATACTCTCATCAAAAACGCTTTTTGACCAATCACAGCGCGTGTTATATACCAATTATTGATCTCATGGTTCCCTGTTGGTGGATGGATCGATTGATTGAAAAACTCAAAATATATTTTTCTTCTGTCGAATCGCGTATCTTTGAACCTTTTTTTTATCATAAAACTTCAAATTCTGGTGGAATAATCTTGAATAAGCATAACTTTTAAAATATTTGAAATATAGGCGATATATTTCAAGATATATATATATTTTAGCCCTAGTGATCCTCCCGTTATAATGATAGATGTTAGCGGACCGCATTTTTCCATATAACTGAATGTAGGTAATGTATAATTATGCGAAGTTTTTGAGGAGTTTTTGAAGAATAGTTTTTTTAGGAATAAACAATGGCAGATGGGGATCGCGTGACTAAAGAATATGTTGGAAACTAACGGTAAACTATTGTTAGTTGCGTCGGTGTTTCTAAAGAAACAGTCGGTGGAAAAAGATAAATTTAACATCGTAAATGAGTAGGTGAAACAATTTACTGAAGATTAACGTCCGAAACGTCAGTAAGTTGTTTCACCTATTTTTTTACGGTGTTAAAGGCACAGTTYGCACCATTATGCTTTGCGAGCATCTGTTATTGTTATGATTTACACCAAAATACTTCTAGTGTCCAAATATCACCATAAAAGGTACGATGGTTGAAAATTCTAATATTATCGTTTAAAGTGCTTAGATTCGAAACGCACAGTACAATTTATAGACTTTCGGTAAACTGAAAAGTGGCCGCCCGAGGGCCCCAAAGCATAATGGTACACACTGGGCCTTTAAATTCATCTTTTTACACAACTGTTTGACAGAATATGTTTTGTATCGCKCAATTAAATAAATCCCCATCCAAAGGATCCAACATAATTATATATTATTGTTTTTTTTTGTAGACATGGACCAAAATATTGACAAAATCGACCTTAACCATTCTGCCCTGTTATTGAAGAGCAAACATTCATTTTGCCTTACTTAATTAAGTCGTGCAATCTCTTTCAAGCAACCATTCAAAAATCATCGYGTGAAATAATAATAATCTCAAGCGCGTGCATATTTTGTTTGTATTCGTAAATTCCAATAGGCCCGAAAGCTTGGCAAATAAAACAAAATTGGTTGATGAAACACGAGTACCATGAGTTCAAGTCCAACCAACATTACTCTATTTGAACTAATCTAAGTCATTATTAATAAATGTATCCCCAGAAGAAATTTCGGGCTTCAACGGGAATCGAACCCATGACCTCTGCGATGCCGGTGCAGTGGTCTACCAACTGATGAGATATAAAGCCAAATATGTCATCTCAATATTTCCAAAATACTAACAAACTAGAACAGCGCTTATATTAGCAATGCACGATGCTTTGTAAGAACGCGAATATAGTTTAGAAAATGAAATGTTTTGTTTTTTTACAGGGGTAATGAAAAGGCGGAAAATAAAATCAAAAATAWGAAATTGTGAACCCTGTCCACATTAAAAAGCGGCGACAGACGCTACGGATAGTTTAATTATTTAGCTTCATGTAGTTTTTCAAATTTGGCCGATTTTRATGTGTTTTTCGAGAAAAATCTTATTTCTTGGCGTGTTGTCATTCTTGTCAAAAGGATGTACACATATATAGTAACTTTTAAAGATTTACCCGCTGATATTTGTTTTGATATCGAAGTACAGTCTTTGTCCGTCTTAACACTGTTTCAAATGTCGACATTTTCATTGACAGGGTTTCTAAATRCTCTGAAAGTTACCTTCAGAATGCTATCGGGARGAYGCAAGGACTGCATGATAAGAAATAGTCACACAAAAATGACAACAAAGTTCACTTGTGTAYTTATTGACTTTCAGCCTTTTTTCGTTTAATTTATTGCTATTTTCAATTCACTGCAGGCGATAATTGAAAGGAGAGATATAGGTTGGTTGCACGAGCTGTGATTAGATGAAGTACAAAATTTTGAAATATGTCTAATTCTCGTTGTCAAATGTGTTGCTAAATCAATAGAGAAAAGATGGCATTGTCATGTTTGGATGAATGGTTTAACCTTTCAATATTACACGTCAAAACGAAACTCCAGAAAAAAACGTGAAAAAAAGAGACCTTGCAAAGGTAACCTCACCCAAGCGCCTGAAGAGCTTGATGTTCTTATTGCTACCCCTTGCAATAACGACATCTCGACAACTTACAATAAAAGTACATGATCAAATGACTTTTTTCCCATCTATACATTAACTACTCAAGTGACGTTCTCTATATTCATGTTCTCTCTGTTCTAAAACAAATGTGCTGTACTATGAACTATCATAGYTTGTAAACCTACCTTTTTTGCGCGTAAAACTCGTTGTGGTTGATTCACCGTTTAGAACGCAATGGTTCGGGCAGCCTCAGACGTCCCAGCTGTATATGCCAAACACCCCGACAGCTCGAATCTGATTGGGCGATTTTAGAGGGTGAAATACGTTTTAGTTAAAGTAAGGCAATATTGCCTCTAGTTTTGACGTAATAGTCTTGCTAAATATTCAAACGAGAATACGCAGGACTAGCTTTACTATTGACTTTTCTTTTAATATGTTTTACAAAAGCGGAAAAGCGTGTTTGAGTATAAGGGACATTTCACTTGTTGAAGAAGCAAACACTTACATCGTTGCCATTGTTATTGGCGTTATAAAAAAAGAGCAAAATAACAATAAAAAATTAGTGAGATGCCTCAAGAAGAGAGGTTATACTCCCGTGTTAACTGCTAACCAATTTCCGTTCTTCGTCTCATTGTAGTGATATCTATGACGTGAATATTATTATATTATTAATATTAATCTTGAGAAATTATCCTTCAGTAGCACATTAGTAGAGGAGAGCAGATGTTAGATGGTAAATACACTTTATTTGAAGTCAATCTTTCGCGGTTCTACACCACCATCAGATTAGGATTAATATATTATAATATTTTGTCATATCTAGGGAGATATGAGAAATATCATTGAGGAGAGAGTTAAAACAACGCCATTGATATTGTTGTAGCGAGATGAAGAAGTTATATCAGTGAGCGGCATCACGGAATCATAACCGGCAGAAAAAAAAAACATTTATTCCAATTAGAGATTTATTAGTATGTATGCAATACGATTATGCCAATCACTTAAATACGACGGGAGGTCTGAGAAACATGTTGGTCTGGGTATCAGATAAATTAAAGTCATCCAGGTCAATTCTGGTTCGGTGTCTTGCCCTTTTGTTAGTTAAACTAGCTTTGTTTGCACAAAGCGTCGATTTGAGTGGGACAATAAGCAGTGCCGCCGAGCTATTGGAATAAATTCAAGGAAAACTAGATCATTAGATGAAATACAGCTGCTTGGTGTGTTCAAAGTAAGTGCTGGTTTGAAATTATAAGCAATTTTTAAGCAATTCTACTATATTATTTTAAACTTGAGCTTGTAAATTTTCAAGTTGAAATCACAAGGAATCAGATCGCGAGACCATTTGAAAGTTGGACATTTTTAAATTAAAATATAAGGATTACATCGTGTTCAATAATGCTTTCTTATATTTTTTTGTTACTTTTCCTCGGCTTCTTGCTTTGAAGTTTGATTAAAATAGTTATATAGGAAGTGTGAGAATAGTTTTCAATTGCATTGGAAAAAGAACCGATTTCTATCCAATGCAATATGGATTTGTAGGAACAAATTACGAGGAGTTCTACAGCATCTTAAAAGGGAAATGCAGCAGAATCTCATATCTTGTAATGACAGTAAACACTTTTTGCAAGGTTTCCTGTGTTTTTTTTTTACATGCAATAATGATTGATTATTTCATCCAGTAGGAGGGTTTGGATAGGGTGCTTGAATATCAACAATACATTTATACTATGAAATATCCCTCACGTTCTTGATATGGCCTGATATCAAATGTCCCCCAGCAATATGTCTTAGAGATAAACTTTTTCCATTGATTATGTATATTAAGAAACCCACGTTTTAACAGTTTTATACKGCATATGTCACATATATTTTATAACAGTAACGAACTATACGAAAGCGTAAAATTAGATATTGTTGAATTACATCCAATGGATTTCAGTTGAATACACGACAAACATTCTTTAGCAAACAATTGTTATTTCATGTTAATGTGTCGAATATAATAATAAAATAAATAAAATACGACTTGTTTGAATGCAATTGAAATGCAACTTATGAACAACGCCATGTTCACACAAATGTCAAGATAAACATTACAAGAGACCGAATAAATATGAAYTTCAATGGAGAGATATGAAAGATTTCATCTATTTTTGTATGACAACATAGTGATAAACCTTCCTCCCTTTAGATTTCTACTGATTACACATTCAATATATTCTTTAATTTTTTAAGCAGGCGAAAAAAAACTTTTTCATTGTATTTCGTTTCTCAATTTAAAATGCGAGTATTTTAATTCACTGGTAGAAACATTGCAGTTTGCAAGCTACAAACATCGTTAAAACAATTGACTGTTGGTCATGACCAATTCGCTTTCTTTAAGGCAAATTGAGACAATACTTATGTCTTCCTGTTAAAGGAATTTATCATATAATTATCTATGAAATACCTATATTTCTCCATTTCATAAAATGGTATTTCCAATATTTTCACTAGTGAAAATAACGCATTCGAGGTAAGAAAAAAGGTATTTTACAACATATATAAATGTGCTTTCATATGTAATTATATGATAAACGGAATATAACATGGTTGCTTGGCGATACGAATTTTATCTTCTCGTGTTGAAAATCTCTCACTCGTTCGCKGTGACACTCGAAGATAATCCGTATCTCCGCACGCCCATGTAATATCCTCTATACCAGTGTGACTTTAAATAGCACCCTCTAAAGAACAACGGTGTTTTAATCAATACAACTTCGGTTCATTAGCACTTTCAATTGATTTGATAAATAAAGCCAAATTAGTATTTGTCAGTGACCCTTTTTTCTCATGTTATCCTCATGAAAGTTGCTTCATTAACAGAGAAAAAAAACTGCTTTGGCTCTCGAACTGAAAATTGATATTTCTACCGCTGGACATTTTACTTTTACTGCGCTCAAGTACAGCCAACGTAGTACAAGAACTGAAAGGATGGAGTTCACTGCCCTCTGTTGCAGAACAAGCACATAAACGAATTTGCTAAATGTTGGTTCAGACTTTATTGTTCTTCATACACATAACATCATAAACATCTTTCTCTCAAAATATTACCCAACAATCATAGAAGCTTCGATATCTTTTTTTTTGGCACACGACATTTGTTAATATATTTTTTTCATTATTTATTTTATCTGCCTATTGTAGAACCGACAATCGTATTTGCGCTTCGGTGACACTTTGCTTCCCCTGTTTCGTTTTCAAGCCATGGAAGATGTTTGCTGTCTTCAAACTAAAATGAAAATATTAGATGAATTCGTTAGAGTGGTTTTCATAAATCCGCGGCACAAAGTGTTACAGCAAAGTGTAATAGTGTGTGCTTCACCGAAATGACAAAGAAAAAAGACACGCTCAATAACGAGAAATAAAGTGAAGTACGTTGAAAAGTATTTTGCGATTTTCAATGAAACATATTGCAGTGAAGGCTTCAAATAGCTCATTAATATTCATATAAAGACAACTTAATAAACCCGCGAAACAAACCGTAATAATTAAAGTAATAGAGTGCGATACAAAAAAAAAAAAAAAAAAAATGAAATAAAAACTAACAAAATGCAGTACGTATACGATAAGCTTATTTCAATACTTCCTGTAAGCCATCCTCCATTAAAAGTATTAAACCAATGAATCTAGACTGCTTACACCTTGCTAGTCGCTTTTTGCATCATCTTTCTTTGTTTTCTATATACTAGAGTGTTTTTTTATTCCTCGGAGTACATTTSATCGTACTACTGGCACCTTATCACTAATGTACTGTTTTTTGGTGTTTTGTTTTTCGGTATTTCACTTTTTATTTCACTTTGAATTTATGATAAAATCACTCCTAACATCCTCGATAGCTGGACAATATTTTGCCAAGATATTCTGCCCAGACAAGAGATGAAACCTTTAAGCCTGATGTAGTACTAAGCTCAGCGAACGATAATACGAGCATGAGTAAACTAACATAGCCATAAAAATACTTTTCTGGAAAAATCGTGCTTGGCTTTTAAACAAAACACGCAAAACAGTATTGTCTACGTAAACATCGATCTTCCTTGTGTCATATGTCCGGATGTGATGCGTGATAGTTTAACAAGTCCATCAAATTTGTGTATCAATGGTTATACAAGCAAGGTTAACGTATTGCGTGTTCAGATAGTTTATTTAATAGCTTGTGTGACATGTCATAGCTCAATTTTCCATTGTTAAAGTGAATACTTTTTACTTTTTATAAGGGACTTGAAAAGTGTAACGACGTGCCAACCGTTGGAATATTCAAATTTAATTTGCATCTCATAGTATCATTCTATCAGGTTTCGGTGAAAGGCCACGGTTTATACTTTTCTAGATGGCGCAGAGAATTAAGGAGACTGATGATTCATCTTACCACAATATTTGCAAGTCTTTTTGCAATTTGATTTCATTATATCTCGGAACTGCTTGCAGTAGGTAGTGATGCTAGCGCAKGATAACCAGATGTCCTTGCAAACTGTTGATTACCAATGAATAAATGTTGAGTGGTCATTCAGATAAACTGGCCGTTGTACTTTGTAAATCTGAGTATCTCAGACTCCAAAGAGTTTTCAATAGGCGTGTATGTATACTGGTGTCGAATACTGATCAATAGTTTTCAATAGGCGTGTATGTACACTGTTGTCGAATACTGATCAATAGTTTTCAATAGGCGTGTATGTACACTGGAGTCGAATACTGATCAATAGTCTTTTGAATTTTTGACGTTTGACGAGATGCACCATGGGATAGTACGAACTGAACTGGTTTTCAAGCAGTTTTATGACCAACAAGCATWGATTGTTGTCTTCCACATAGACCTTTAAGAACAATCAAGTGTGCAGCCTTCTAATTTCAAGGTCCGTTTACACTTGCAATTTTTGAAGCAAGATTGTCGCGCAACAATTGCAACTTTGCCATCGCGACCTAAAATCGTACGTATAAACAGCTGTGCGCATTTTGCGGCGATCGAAAATCGCCGCGACGAGTTGCAGCTAAATTTCAAACGACTTTGAAACTCAGGCGATGGTCGCGCGACGACAAAAGTCGCAAGTGTAAACGGGTAAACGTGTCAAATGTTCTTCAAAAGTATTCTCGACAAAAGAAATTTCGTGTTGATAGTTTTATCTATACCATGATGCACCTCGTCAAAACGACGTCATTTGCTTCAAGGTCTGTTGTAGCTAAACAAATAGAGTGGTGAGTTCGCACTCTTTTTACAAATAGAAATACCAGCTGAGCTGCTKTTATTTACTCATGAATGCAAACATGAAATGTTGACATGAGCTACATTAGCTTTACCCTTGCCGGTCAGTACTAAATTTTGGTCTTAAAAAACCCGAAGAATACAGAAACACCTTTAAAGGAGACAGTACCTTATTCAGTGTCTGTGTATCTTTGGGTAATGTTTTCTCAATATACAGGTAGCGATTTTTTTATTAGAAATATCAATGGTCGATTCGCGAATTTCGCCTCAGTAGTCAGACACGAAAGAGTCAARTCCTGAAAAAAGTATTGTCTTTTCGCGACACACACGTGGTGTATGGAGAGCACGCAGAGAGAAGCGTAAATCACAGCGCAAAGCTACGTCAAAAATAAACATAATGATAACAAACAAACAAAAAAAACAAGCTATATCGTACCTGGGCTGCTAGTTCCGCCAGCTAAGAATATGTGCAAAGAATGGGAAAACATTGAATTAGTCTAAGGTCTGCTTCAGACGTCGATCTTTTCCCGCGTCTAATCTAATTGCTTATAATACAGTTCTCGAGAGGTTTGCAGTTTACATCGATTTATTTTAACGATTATAGTAAGTTTGTCCAACTAAACAAAATCTACGAATGCCAATAAATTCAGAAAATGCTCATAAACTCAACTCCGCCAATTACATTAGACTCAACAAAAGATCGACGTCTGAAACGGGACTATAAAATGAAAAATTGCATAATGTCATACCTAAAGTCACAAGCAGTCTGTGTACTTACCGTATAGATACCGAATTGCATTTTTATCGTCTTTACTAAGTGTAAGGTTTGGCTTGTATTTRTGAGCTATCGGAAACATGATCGACGTGACCTCCGTAGAATGAGCGAGTCCTAGAGAGTGACCGATTTCATGTACTGCAACAGCCAGTAGGTTGGTGCCAACGGTTGTACCATCCGTGAAAAGCTCATCGTCGTCGAAATGAAGTTGACCTGATTTGGGGTAAAAAGCATGAGCCAGGACTTTACCATGTCCATCAAATGGTGTGCTGCATCGACCGTGAAAAGTAGTACCAAACCTTGAAGAAAAAATAGCACATAATACTCCAAAAAATGATCACAGCATGAAATTTCTAACTTGAGAAAGGAATTCGTATACACGACAAAAAATGCGGTAGTTAACGAGATCTTTTTGTGACATGACCAAGGTCTAACTAGACCAAGCAAAAAACCGTTCTCACTATTGATAAATATATCGCAGTAAACGCAGTCTAAGACTAAGAAATACTTTGTAATTTTCTAAGGTAGGCTTCCATTCTCCAATAKACATCTCACTGGTATACTTGGAAAAGCCAGTGGCTAATTGACTAGATGGGGTTTGTGTGGATTAGGGAGCGTGGAGGTCCTAACTATCTCCTTTGTCAAAAGMACATTGTTTGCCGAGTATGAAGTGCCGTTTTAATAATAAGAAATTACTTACATAATTGTAATGTCAGCTTTGGATAGGTCGGTTGTAAGCGTGAAGACCAAAGGGCTGACRTCAGACCACAATTTGAATGCTTTAGCAATGACTGCTTTCTGAGCCAGCACTGACATATCAGCGGTATATGTTTCAAATGCATAAAGTAGAGCAGTCTTATCCCACTTTCGATTTGAAACAGCAAACCTCTTCCGGCGACGCCCTTGTAAGGTCGAAAAAATAATTCTTTTATTAGATTGATTAAATTAAAACAAAAATAAAAATTTGAGGTTTCGATGGCCTGGTTTACATGTCATACTCCTGTTTCGAATTCTCTTTTGTGCAAGCTTAGCTTCAATCAAGCATAAAGTTTTGCTGTCTTCTTTGTACACAGAGTTTTTGCATTACAATAGGATCTCTGCTGAATAAAAGTATATATTAGAACGTATTCGCATAACCCACTTTTTAAATGCTAATGAGTTTGCTAATATTCTAATGAGATTGGCACAAGAAACAAAAGAGCAAAAACATGCTTGAGTRATTTCAGTAGCGAATATTATTTCAAAACTATTTTGAGCTCAGTTCAATAAATGCAAAATTTCAAAAGGAAACATTTTTATTTAAGCTATACAGCTATCTCAACTTCTCGTAAACTACATGCAAGTAATTAGATTAGACGCGGCAAAAGATCGACGTCTGAAACGAACCCCATTGTCCAGAATTGGTTTTGATTCTAGTATCGACGGGTTGTCGAAGTCTGCAATGCTTGTTTTATAATTCTTCCCATGCGCCCAATTTATTAAAAACAATTTAAATCAACATTATGAACCGCTTAAAACAAATGATCTGTTGGCATTCAAAATAAGGAATTTTCAATCTTGTAGCCAATAACTGTTGAAATTGGTTAACTTTAATAATAAAAATGTTTCCGTTTGAAATTGTGTATTTATTGAACTGGGCTCAAAATAGTAATATTTTGAAATCACTCAAGCATGTTTTTGCTCTTTTGTTTCTTGTGCCAATCTCATTAGAATATTAGCAAAACTCATTAGCATTTAAAAAGTGGGTTATGCGAATACGTTTTCTAAAATATTTAGGATACTACGCGCGCTGTGATTGGTCGAAAACCATGTTTGATTACAGTATCAAAACACGCTCGCGCGCGTCAAAAATTTCTTTTATTCTTTTAATTTTAGAAAAGGAATAAAAGACGAAATTCCGTGTTTGATACTCTGATCAAAACACTTGGGATGTAGGGAGAGCACTCGAAAAGCTGGAAACCACTCCGCTACGCGTCGTGGTTTCCTACGCTTCTCTCGTGCTCTCCCTACATCCCGCGTGTTTTGATCAGRGTATCAAACACGGAATTTCGTCTTTTATTCCTTAACTAAYACATGCTTTCGAGGTTAAGGCTCTAAGCCTGCACAAATAAGATCTCGAAGCTGGAGTATGCCCAAAATGCATTTTTCATTTTCGTTAATTTCCTAAGTTAACTAGAAATAGTGTGTGTTAGAGAATCGTAAACAAAGAAACTAGAAAAAGTTAGTTTTCCCTTATTACTGCGTATATTCTATGGAGGTTTATCAGTTTATGAACCATTATGGCGTCTATCATGGATAAGGGCTGCTCACCTAGCGAAGAGTCGTTAATCTGTACATCGGGAACACCACATCGTTTTTTCTTCATCGCTTTTATCGTTGAATTGTCTAACATGCCAGTAACTGGTAGATTCACGAATCGCTGGAATGTTTCCAAGGCTGTTCTGACGTCCTGGTTGCCTCGTGGTAATTGTGAGATATAATTGTACTTTTTGAGATAATTCTGAAACAAAACTTGTTTGAATATTTCTTTTTTATAACACAAAGATGAACAAGACAACAGACTAATAATTAAAAAGTACATGGTCCACCAGAATTCAATGCGGTCATGTTTCAGATTTTTTCACATGGAAAATGAGGTGACTTCAAATATCCATTCACAATCAGTTTCCATCCATCGGTTTAAAGGTTGAATCTTACAGTGTCTCCATTTATTTAGTATAAAGTGATAATAAAGAGTAAGTTTCTGCTTATATTAAGATGTATTTTTAAATACACATGAGTAAAAGCTCGAAAGGGATGCTGATGGACCATAATTTCTTTATAGTGCTATGGTTCAAAAGATGTCGCAAGACCACAGGGRTTCTTTTATCCAAATTTATGGGAATTCTGCAACTACAAAGTTCTTTAAATCTGGGAAGCAAKGGTGGCCGAGCGGTGAGAGCGCCGGCCTGTCACCGCTGTGGTCCCGGGTTAGATTCTGACTTGGGATCWTATGTGGTTCGAGTTTGTTTCCGTTCTCTCCCTTGCTTCGAGGGTTTTTTCTCCGAGYTYTTCGGTTTTTCCTCCCTCAGCAAAACCGGAACATTTCGATCCTAGCTGTACTCCGTGATCAGATATGKGTCGATYACGTGAGCTGCGTCCTTCATAATTCAGCACTCGGGCTGCGATGAAAGGCGATTAGCTATCACCAATTTATTTTTATTTTATTTTTAATTATTTGATTGATTTTGGTCAGCAAAGCATTCAACGATGTTGAAGGACTGACAAGGTTGAAGCAGACTGAAGGAAAGTGTGGTACAATACACAGTTCTATTCTAACCGTCTTTGTATGATCAACAACATCAACAACAACAATTTTTATTAATGATTTCACAAACATAATCCTTTGCCCTCGCAATTATTAAAACTATTCGGGGCGAGGGTGAAAGGGTAATCAAAAAGCGAAAATAATTCTATATCGATTTTAGAAATATTGTAATCATATTATAGAAAGAGGAATGGAAAACTGAGAAAACACAGGAAATGCTGTGAAAAATAAAACAAAATAAAAGATAAATACTTACGTATGCAGCTATGATTTCTTTAAGTATGTCTGGCGCAGTCATATTTCCTGCTGTTCTTTTAATATGTGTCAGTTGTTCAAACGAATTGCTTATTTTACTTCTAGAATCACTATTCAATGTTCCTGGTAAATCTGGGATCGTTTGTCGTTCGTTGTTGCTCTCTAGTCCACCGCCATGATGTACTGAGGTTGAGATGTCTCTGATTAACGAGCTTGTTGATACAGAACAGACGAACAGCCATGGAAGGCAGAACAGCAACACCCTGACAGTATGTCCCATGGCTGGGGAACTTGTATCAGAACGAWGTTTAGACATCTCTTTTATTTGGAATTAAAGACATCCTATACGAACTACAGCCCACATGTAAAGGTTCGAGTACCTGAAAGTTTAGAGTAAATTGAGAGAAAGAGTACTAAGCTATCGTAGTTTGAAGAGGTTTATAAAATAATTTGAAGATAAGACACTTAAGTTCCATTTAGAAGTCCAAAGATTACATTTCATCATAATGTATTTTTTAAATATAGATGTAATAGTACGAACGCTCTGATTGGTCTAGAAGCGGGATTTATTTCGCTTGCACCTTGCGAGCATTTCATCTTAAAAAGTTTGTGCGTTTCTTTTTCATAAAAAAAATCATTTTAGTACAAGTCGTATTTTTAAATCATTTCAAAACGAGTATCATGTTAAAAGAAAAACTGTGATTTCTTGAAATAGTAAAGAAAGACAGGCAATACAAAAACCAAAGATGTTCAGTAAAACGATAATGAATATTGTTTACCATAATCCCTCAAAAACCTTTTTTAATGTTTCCAAAACATCTACAAACATCAATTTTTATTGAAAAGAAATGCAGAAACAAAATAAGTTAAGTTAAGTTATTTGTGAATAAAGAGACCGTTTCGGTAGACTTTTTAATTGCATAATAAATCATTACCGTTTCTGTCTATATGTTTGTCTTCTTTAGTTTCTAAATCTCAATATGTATATAATAAACAAATTACTTCATGGTTAGTTCGCTTGTACAATTTTTATTCACTCGTTGTGATGAATCAAACTCACTCGCTCGTACCTCGCTCTCGTACGCGCTCACCAACCATGAAGTTATCTATATTTACGACATAATTTGCTTTCAAATATAGTTATATGATAAACAGAATATTACATGGTCGCTTGGAGATACGAATTCTATCTGGCCGCGAGCCCATGTAATATCCTGTATGTTTCCACCAAAATACTGTGTGATACACCGAAATAAAAGGAGAAAAAAACGTGTAAAATAAAGAGTAATAAAGTGTATTTCACAGGTTAACGAAAACCTCTCTAGTTAAGCGATCCATTATCACAAGTGATACTCTACTCCACTCTTCTAATATCGGCATTTTTGGTGTCCATTTATTATTAGTGCCTTAACAACTTCATTTGTGAAGGAGGTGTCATGAATGAGGTAATGGCAGTTAGAGCTGAAAGCTTCTTTGCTGCTCTTCAAAATATGTTTTGGTTTGTGTTTATTTTAGATCGCAAATTTTAAAAGGTCAAAATGTTCACCAGACAAACAAATATTAGTGTCATTTATTGAATAAAGGGACATTGGTAACTATACCTTGACAAATGGCTTACAATAATTAGGTGTCCAAATGAGAATGATTGTAAGAGTCACAAGAAAATTGTACAAATTGTTCTGAACACGAGGAAGGAACTAAGGTTAAGGAATAAGGAACTGGTATCGACGCCTTCACGAGATGGAGCATCCATTAGCGCAGTAAAACGTTTATAAAAGTTTGGTTGGGAGTGAAACTTGATCTACTAAAGTGTTCCATTTCTTATCAACGAATGTAAAGGACTCGGTTTTATGTTATAGTTTGCATGATATTCCCCTTGCAGATGTCTCGCTCCAGACCCCACAAGGTCAGCAAATGACAATAGAGAAATGGAACGAGATGAGTGAATAGATGAAATCACGTATCAGTGCATGAATAGACTATTACCTTTAATTCCTACTAACTTCTACAAATTTTCATAAAGCTTTGCTTGCCAATTATATCATGTAATGCAAGGATAT